ACATCGTCACAATGATGCCAACGTAAGACAACCAGAACAACTCTTAACAAGATCTGTTTAGATCAGCTTGTTTATGTCAACATCTCCATCCAGATGACATGCAATGTAATAGCTTCTTTTTTCCTTTTCCAGAATCCCAGTTGCTGTATGAAAGCTGAACACATGTCCAATCAAACCTTTCGTTTCTACAAAAGCTTCTTCAAGAAATGGAACAGAATAATCTAAACCTGATTTCGCTTACATGCAGGTCAACTTTTAACATAAAATGATGGCAACTTGGAATATATCTGAAATATAGTCTAAACTATCCAAAAACACCAAGGTACTTTCAAATAATATTAAAATCTTGAAAAGCACAACAACAGCACCTCAAGTGAAGGTAGCTTGAGTCCAGGAAGTTTTCCTTCCTAACCCTTGACGTATTAACTTTCCAAATTTCAAATTCTGAATATTTAAAAAAAGCGCTTCCATATATTTATGTATTTATTTCATCATATTTATATCTATTTATTTAAAATTTACTGTTTTGTATGCAACTGACGACCTTACCTCCCAGTGATACTGTTGTAATATTCACCATGTGAAAATAGTATAGAGAAAGGACTGCACTGCTGTCTTCAGTAAATTAACTTGTCTATACTTTATTGTCTATTTATTTATTTATTTATTCAACTAATTAGTTTGTTTAAAAGCCTTTATTTAAAACATGGTAACAGTTGACTATGTAACACTGTTTGCTGTTTTGCCTTTTCTTGTCTTTTTTTTTTAAGCACTGAGGTCTGTGGTTTTCCTTGAACTAATAGTGAAAATTTTGTGGAATAAAGAGTTTAGAAACAAAGAGTTGTCTTTCTGAGATTTACCGCCTCCAGCTGAGAGCGTTTACGAATAGAACATTTCTGAAAACTTTGCAGTGGCCGTCTCTTCTTTTATAAAAGGAATTATTGAGAGAAATAATACTGTGGGTGAACACTGACATGTATGCTGCAGTGTCTAGCTTGACATCATGATGCCAGAGCTGTTATAAGCCTTAAACAGTCACAACGATATAGAGGTAGTTCTAACTGGTTTGGTTTGGTTTTAACTTGACATTGTACTTTTTAATGATAACACTTAAACTAAAGATCGCCCATAGACTACCTAAAACCTGGTTGTTAATGCATCACAATGAAAGTCCAGTTTGGAGTGCATATCACACAGCATACTCATTGCCATGATATTAGTCATTGAAGTGTAAGGTCATTGTTCGAATGACAGTGTTACCTGTCAAGAAGTCTGGTAACGAAATCCAAAGAGATGTGGGACCATGGCCGCCTAGGAGCAGGTAAGTAAGTAAGTAAGTAAAACTTTATTTATATAGCACCTTTCAAGATAAAAATCACAAAGTGCTTCACAGAAGCTAAAACCTAAAAATAAAAATCAACTAAAAGCAAGTTTAAAAAGATGGGTTTTTAGCTGTTTTTTAAAAGCGACCACTGAGTCCACAGATCTCAGGCTCAAAGGGAGAGAGTTCCACAATCTGGGGGCCACAGTTCCAAAAGCTTTGTCGCCTTTTGTTTTCAGCCTCGTGTGTTGGACAGCAAGCAAGCCCTGGTCACATGACCTCAGGGACCTGCTGGGAATAAAGGTAAAGGTTTTAGGAGTGCTGCAGATGGATTGTGGGCAGTCTTATTCTGGGCGCACATGGTGCACTCACCGATGTACTCCCAGAAGTCTCTAGATTAGGCCATAAGTGCCACTGCAAAAAAACGAATGGTCTGCTGGACCCCAGACAATTATGTGGACCTCCTCTGGGATCAGGTTTGTTTTTTCTGTGCAGATTGGATGAGGGTCTCGATCTCCCAGGTAAGAGACCCAATGACACATGAGGAAAGTAAGATCACTTCATCTTCCACAGGGGCATCAAGAGGAGCAAAGTGCCGGAGTCTTGTTTGTTACTGTGATCTGATTTAAACTGCGGCAATCTATGCAGGCATGGAGTGTTCCATCTTTTTTCTTTACAAAGAGTAGTGGCCAAAGGAGAAGAAGATGGCCAAATGATACCTGCTTTCGTGGAAGTATTTCTCCATTGTTGTAAAGACAACCAGTGGGGGGAGGAACACCAGGTAAGGCATCTATGGCACAGTTGTATGATCTGGGGGGAGGCAAAGAAAGAGCAAGGTCTTTGCATAAAACATTTGCATTTAAGTTTTTCAGACTTAGAGCAGATCAAGTTACTAACTAAAAAAAAAGCTTCTCTGAGTGCCTTTCCTCCCAGCATCTCTCCTCAGCCAGTATCCAGAAATTCACTGAATAATCAGCCACACTAAGTTTACAGATTGAGCTGCATCAGCGCTGGTTCCCTTAACAAAAATACATTTCAATTTATTCAGTAATTCAGTAAGTTAACTCTTCTCTGGCCTGTGCCCATAATAAAGCTCTGCCTTGCTTCAGATTAGTTACAAGCGCAATCTAATCAGAGGCATACATTCTAATGAACTGTTTATATACCAGCATAGTGTTAGAAAGCCCTAGGCCTTTACTAACTCATTCGTGAAAGGCTCTGGTGGGGATAATGCTCATTCCGGAGGCTCAGGGGGCTGTGAGGTGTCAACGGAGAGGTTGGTGAAGTGGGCAGAGAGAATGAGGGGCCCTTCTCAGGAAACAGCAGAGGTCAATGGTGTAGAAGCAGCAATGGCAGTGGTGAGAGGAACTGAAACAAGTGGATTCTGACCAAACAACAAGGAAGGGCATCCAGTCAAAATTAAAATGCCTTCTGCTGTGGTGACCCATTGGGATCATTAGTAGTACTACATCTTTAGGTATGAGTCAAACTATACACACAGTACAGTTTTATGATCGCTATGTTTTATGTATTGTACACTATAGCAGTTACGTTCTGATGGCATCTGCATGTATAACATTTAAGACACAATTTTACACTTTTTAAAAATCAATTAATGATTAAAAGAATTCTGGTGTAATTTATTTTGTAAAAACTCTTAATGCTATTTACTTAGCATTTCATATTACAAAGTCGTAATAAAGGTTTATTGCTGATCAGTGAGTCAGTTCTCATGGCCAGGTCCTTAGATAATACCACTCTGTCAAAGGCTACTGGTTTGTCACAGAAACCCACAGCCCATACCATTGATCCTATGACGCATGCATAGGTTCAAATGTGTAGTCTCGCTTATCATATTATAATTTAAGCACAATCATTTCCAAAACCTAACCCAGTTATTTTGGTGTAACTCAACCACTAACAAAGTGAATCCACTGATTCAACCTTTTTATAACAACTGAAATAATGATTATAGATGCATCACAGAGTACATTTTTACCATATAAACCTGGTTTAACCCTGTCAATGTTAAGCCAGTTGTTAAGCAATCAGTAAAGCTACTTTAGGCTACTTTGCTGCAAAGAGTTGCCACATTTATTAATAAAATTTTATCTATCCTCATCTTATAATCAGTCTCATAATCCCTCTTGTAAAATAAGTGTAAGAAAAAAAAATATTGCAAGTATAGATGATAAAAGACTAATTAAGAAGAGTGGGAAGGGATGTGTTGGAGGATAGAAGATGCAGAAAGTTCCCCACCCCCATTTAACTCGGTGAAAGGCATAGTGGGAAAAGCATGACAGAAGTGCCTCTTTTTTTAACTTCCCTTAGAGAAGTAAAAGTTAACAAGCTTGCATGGCAGGGCACAAAACACGCACGCACAGGCATGAAGTTGCACAGACAGGCATGTCTGATAAACACTGCACTCACACTAACACACAGGAGTGTGATAAGAGGGCTGGGGGGTTTTTGGCTTCCTAAAATGGCAGTTTTTTTGTTTTGTTTTTTGCTCTTAGCCATCTTACTTATCGCTTTTGCATATTTTGTGGGTCATCACCAAGCAAAAAAAAAAAAAAAAAAGGAACAAAACACTCTGGAGCCTTCTCACGACTTCAAAAAAAAAAGCTCACAACTTTAAAAAGACTTTAACCCAAGATCTCATGATTGAAAACTACATTTCCTTAGGTTCCCACAAGAGCACATCAAGATTGCGAAAAGGAGATCTACAGATGACTTCTGCTAATCTAGTCTCACACATTTTTAGTCACATCAGGTTTTCTGAAGAGTAACTTAGTGACTCATTATATTGCTAGAAAAGACAAGTAAGATAAAGAGGTTATCGTGGCACTTGTCACGTGTGGGAAATCACACAGTACAGACAGCAGCAACCTTGGAGTGGTGTCTTTGAAGTATACATGAGTTAGATGAGTAGCAGGTGCACCTTTGAACACAGAAAACCAACAGAGGAGGATGCAGTGAGAGAGAAATGTAGGCAACAGTGCACCTCAACTTGTCTATTTATTCTCTGACCCTTTCAACTCTTACCCCTGCCTGTTGTGTCTTTAATTTCCTGGCAGCCAGGCAGAGAGCCTGAGCCTCAAAAGAGATGAGAAAGGACCAAAGGAATACACTTAAAATATCCTAATCGAAATGATTTGTTTTTAAATTAGCCACCCATGAACTAATACTAATATATGGATAATCATAGATAATAGAGAAAAGAAAGGACGTCAGAATTTGATTTATCTACATCGATTTGGGGTCAGTTTAAACAAAAATGGATATACTTTAAAAGCAAATATACAACTAACATACTTCTTTATCTTAATGTGACGAAAGAATGCAGAAAAAAATCTTTATCAGGATGCTGCGCCCGCATTTCTTTTCTTTCTCCAACAGGTGGCCTCAGCGACCCAATGTACTTGAACGGACCTTGCAATGATTTTATAATCTACCTCTTCATTTGAATAAACTTCACCAGATTTAAATAAGACTCTGGAAAATAACTACAGCAAGGCTTAACGGGGAACGGGATGCGTGATGATTTTCTCGTGAAACCTGTTGTGTCATAAAGCAGTGACCGAGATCGGTCGCCAAAGGCCCACAGTCACGCGCTTTCATCCCCATCGCACTTTCTCCTGAATGGGACAACGTCAGAGCGCCGGTGTGGAAGCGAGCCAGAGGTCTTCGGGATCTGGCCGCAGATGCGCACTGTGGCTGCAGGAGGACGCAGCGAGAGCGCTGAGTGACATTTGAATCCGGTGGTGTGTACTATTAAATCACAGCAACAGTCAGCGAGCTGGCTTCCAGGGAGGACACAGGACTGTGCATTTATTTGTGTTTGCAGGAAATGGGGTCTGGATGCTCTTTGGAGGGACTTTACACTGGGAAGTTCGGATGGAAGCGGCGGGACGTTTGTTTTTAGATGTGGTATCAAGCTGCAGCTGACCGCACACTTTATCTGTAAGTAAGAAGTGAATTTGGTGCTAAAACAGTAAAATAGAGAAACCGCAAACACAGTTTGTATATATGTAGGAGGATGTGACTCTTGTTTTGAGTCACGTCTTAATAATTACAGCCCGCTCACGGGAAAATCCTGCTCTCACAGCTCCAGCCAGACAGTGTGTTATTCTAAATCGGATCATTGGCAATACAAATTACAGCTGTACGAGGGTTTATTGGGGCCATTGCAATAATAATAATAATAATAATAATGATAAAGTAATAAATTTAGTGGAGGAAGATTGGAATAGTAATTAGAACACTGATTAAATATAATACTTTACAATTATATTTATGCAAATAGGTCTTTCCTTGATTCAGCCCGGATTTACCACATTATGAGAGGTATCCGAATTCTACAAATACATAACTATAACTGGAAACTATTCAAAAGGAGACTGATTTTGATGAGGTGAAATTTGGGGCATCAGGAGCTACAAAGAGATATGCAAAGGTATGATTGATTATTATTGTCCAAACTGTGCTCTATCATGGGCCATTTAATGGTGCTTGGGGTGTGATGAGGCTGAATGAGCCCCTTCCCCCCCAAATCTTTTTACCCTTTACTTAAAATAGCCCTAATATTCTTTTGCATAATCAGCTATATTAACAATCAGAGCTATTATATAAACCACAACACAACAAACCACAAAAAAGATATATAATATTTAGAAAATCATGCATATTTATGATTACTTTTATCTTACACAATATTGAATTTTTCTAGACTAATTCATTTCTTTTAATCCCCAGGGCTACTGATGTGTTCTGTAAGCAGACAGAGGATTCCTGCGATTACATTGGGTTTGGGGCTAAAACAGAACAAGCAGAAGAGAATCAGTGACTACACCACTGCACTGAGGAATTAAGGTACAACTACCTCTCCATCAGTGCAGCTCAGATGATGTCAAATCTATTTTACAGGGTCAGAGGGCAAATGACTGTCCCAGAGAGCATTTGCCTGAAATGTCTCATCTTTCGTGATTTATCAGACGATAAACTGATGGAGACTTTTCACAGTAATGGAGAACAGGAGCCTCATAGAAACTAGTGGATAAAATGTAGCAAGACTCTTCAGTATGACATAAGCAAAGAACCCCCTCCTCCCCAAGCACACACTCACTTTCAGGGATGGATCCCATGAACTTTACAACTGTCATCGACAATGGGTTTTTGGATGAGGCGCCATCAAGTCGTGTCCTAACTGGCTGTTTTCTCTCGCTGCTCATCCTCACCACCTTGCTGGGAAACACTCTGGTTTGCGCGGCCGTCACCAAGTTTCGCCATCTGCGTTCTAAAGTGACCAACTTTTTTGTGATCTCGCTGGCCGTGTCCGACCTATTGGTTGCCATCTTGGTGATGCCCTGGAAAGCAGTGACGGAGATCGCCGGATTCTGGCCGTTTGGCTCTTTCTGCGATACCTGGGTAGCTTTTGACATTATGTGCTCCACGGCCTCAATTTTGAACCTTTGCGTCATAAGCCTGGACCGCTATTGGGCCATCTCCAGTCCTTTCCGCTATGAGAGGAAGATGACACCCACAGTGGCCTATATTATGATCAGTGTGGCCTGGACGCTGTCTGTCCTCATTTCCTTCATTCCAGTGCAGCTCAACTGGCATAAAGCCCAAACCAAATCTTACACTGCTCTTACTGGGTCCTCTGTTTCACTGGCATCAAACGCTACATCTTACCCAGAGAACTGTGACTCAAGCCTGAATAGGACCTACGCCATCTCCACCTCTCTTATAAGCTTTTACATCCCTGTGGTCATCATGGTGGCCACCTACACACAGATTTACCGCATTGCCCACAGACAAATCAGGAGGATCTCTGCTCTAGAGCGGGCAGCCGAAAGTGCCAAAAACAGACACGACAGCATGGGCAGAGGCTCCAGCATCGCAGACTCGGAGAGCTCCTTCAGGTTGACATTCAAGAGGGAGACAAAGGTGCTGAAGACGCTGTCAGTGATAATGGGGGTGTTTGTGTGTTGCTGGCTCCCATTTTTCATCCTCAACTGCATGGTGCCCTTCTGCGAGCAGTCGAGCGGAGGGGAGGCTTTCCCCTGCATCAGCCCCACCACGTTTGATGTGTTCGTGTGGTTCGGCTGGGCTAATTCCTCCCTAAACCCCATCATCTATGCCTTCAATGCGGATTTCCGGAAGGCCTTCTCCATCCTGCTGGGATGCCACAGACTGTATCCAGGAGGCCACGACATAGAGACGGCCAGTCTAAACAAGAAATGACTCACAACTCTCTCACAGCACTGACTCATCCCTTAATTCTTAAAACAGTCCAAGAGTTCCTGTTGCAGCCAGTCTGATTGACTTGAAATGCAAAGACTGCTTTCGTGCGCTAACTCTTATTTTGACTGAAGGGTACGACGACCCCACATGCATCCATGTTTGCATTAGGTGAATGGTCTGCCTTTGCGATGTCTACCATAGCGGGCTTGCTGTGCTCGCCATTGTCTCTACACTGTCTTCAGATGGGAGAAGCTCCTGATAGAGGAGAGAGGATTTGGGATTGAGATTAAAATCCGCCGCTGTTGCACCAGGGATCTGGGAGAGCAGCGGTGCTGACAAGCTCTTGGGATAGATAATCCCATGACTGGGCAGCACACACCCTAATGATGTCAGACACTGCTCTCTTCTATATCATCAAACACACACACACAAACAAACACTGTCAAAACATGCTCCCCGAAATATCATGTAGCACCCAGCATGCACACTACAACAACAAATTCCATGACAGCACACAGAAACACTGTTAGTCTTTACACTGACATTTCAGGACCTGCAAAGACTCCAGCAGTAAAGCATCAAGCCAAATTATGTTGAACATATGTACAGGTAAAGTACATCCACAAGTGACTTAATATTACAGCTAGAATGAAAAGTGAATAAATTCAAGTGTAAAAGGAAATCCCTAAGAAGTGGAGACGTAAAAATGTGATCTGAATCCGTATAGGATGCAGAGATGGGGAAAAACAAACCGACTGCCTCGTTACTGGTTGAAATGTTATTTATAAATCATCGACATTTCGAATCATTATAACTTTAAACCAAATTTACAAACTTGTGACCTCCGAAATGACACCAGTCAGCGGCAACATTAAAACCATTTGCCTAATATTGTGTAACACTTTGGGCCCTGTGGGTTGTGAGGTGGGGCAACGGTGGATTGCATCCTGGAGATGCTCAACTAAAGATCTGCTAAGTTCGGAGGCCAGGTCAGTGCCTCGGGCTCTTCTTGTGTCGAGTCATCCATGAGCAGTTTTTGCAGGGTGGAGGGGTGCCTTGACCTGCTGTATTCAGGGAATAAGTTGCCACTGGGTTGTGTTTGTTCTGCCGCTATGTTCATGTGGGTGGAATATGTCAAAGTAACATCTAGATAAGTGTTTGAGCCCAAAGTTTCCCTGCAGAGCATTCCATTTTTACCAGATAAAGAATGTTATTCATTTTACCTGTTTGTGGTTTTAATGTTGTATCAAATTGCCTGATTTTTCCAGTGCTTGAAAGTGTTTTATTGGCAGAAGACAGTATTGTACCTGCTATGGATGGGATTATTATGGGATTATGGGTTCTTTATGTGAAAACTGAAATGGGTTGGTGTAATGTTGTTTTATGTTCCTGTGAAATTGAACAGAAATACAGTGTCAACTGGTGACACACTTCCTTTGTGCAATACATTGCATAGTGAAAGCACATCTAAATGACAATTGTGTCATTTTTTGTGACCGTTATTTACCATGGGTCTTGTTCTCACTGATTTTGTCACAGTTCTTATTGGTTTGGATGCATTACTGAATTTCTCTGTGAACTCCAACAAGGCAATGAACACAAGATGCCAGACAATCAGCCAGCCTACAGTTTAGAGCATTAAAACTACTGCTTTTCTGAGTTAAACCTAACAAGACGGACAATGCAAAAAAGCAACTTGTAGCACAAGAAAACCGCATGGCAGGCAACGGGACTCTCGTACAAAATATAAGTTAGAAGGAAACAGAGGAACACCATAATTTGTAAGAATTAATTAAAAACCACACAACTCTATTGGGAAATAAAAGTCCACTTATCAGCTGTTTTACTTCACTTGAAACATAAATGAATTTTGGTGTAATAAAGATGTTTTTTAAAAAACTTATTACATCACATCATTCAAGTTGCTAGTTTGACATGAAATGCATTAGACCACAGTTTAAATTATGCTTTAGACTGATTTTTACATTTATTTACTGCTGTACTTAAACTGCAAATTTAATAATATGTTTTCTATATCAAATGCATCTTTTCATTTCCACTAAAGCCCCCCAAAATAAAAAATCAGTAATCGTCAGAAGAATTTTGCTAATCAAAGATGAATAAACAAGACAAATCTTAATTATTATTATCTTTATTATTTTAGTGAGGCCAGTATGTTCCCATATAATGAAGAAAAAATGGCTCATGTTTTGGAAAATTATCTGTCTGTTCTGGTTTCCTGTCTGGAAATCTTTCATCAGTAGCAGAACCCCAGGAAGTAATGAAATAGTCCTGCACGTATTGCAATGTAATATAAACCCTTTTTATACCGCAAATCAGAATTAATTTTAGAGGTGCTGGTAAATATTCTTTTTAGCTTTGGAGAAAGTTAGCATTTGCCACTGCTTCCAATCTTTTGCTAAGTGAATTTTTCTCTTTGTGTAGGCTAAAGCTGACTTAGTTTGCTAATGAGCTTTAGCTTCTTCTTCTTCTTCTTTTTTTTTTTTGAAAATTACCTGTAGAAGTATTAGTAAACTTTGATTTTAGCTTTGAAAAAAAAAAACTTTAAACAAAGCCAGTTAGCATTTTTACTGCTTCCAATCACTGTGCTAATAATTCTGTTTCTGCAGGCTTTAGCCACCATTGCATTCAACATTACCTTAATTTTTCAGGCCCAGGGGTTGTCGCTTGGGTGACAGGCACAAATTCATCTGACAGACATGAGTGGTGTTGACCATCAAATCTAAATCTTGGCAGAATCAATCATGACTGATAGATGTTGTGGCCAAAACTGTGAAAATAAGACCCAGCAAATATCAGAGACATAACAAGATAAAGAACATCATCATTAAGATCTACCGCTAATCTGTTAGCCAGAGTGAGAATTCATGACAAGCAAAAGCTGTAAGTGTGTTGTGAGTGAATATGCAGGTGTTATATTGGTTTTACTACTGTATACATGTTATGTTACATTCAGAAGTGTATAAAGCCATCAGAAGAAACAGCTGTGCAATGTCTGCTTGTGCATGTGGAAGCATCAGTGCACATGTTTATAAATGTATATTTGTCCATTTTCATGAAATCCACAGGGTGTGTGTGTGTGTGTGTGTGTGTGTGTGTGTGTGTGTGTGTGTGTGTGTGTGTGAGATAAAGCGACAGAGTGGCTGCACAGCCTTGACCTCCACACATCAAATTACCTAAAGCCAATTTCACACCAGCATCCAAAGAGCAAAACCTAATGGGATCAGCTGCGCTTCACATCTAACATTTCACTCTCACATAACCCTGGTGTTCATGTGTTTGTTCAGTCCGGTGATGTATTGCCATCATTTGTAAAGTGAAGCGCCTAATCAGAAGTTGTGAATAGCCTGGCATAATAAAGGAGTGCAACCATTGTGGCACCTCTTTATCCCCACTGTTGGCTTTGTTTCTTTCTTTGATTGCATTACAACATTTCCCACTCTATCAATTTTTAAACAATACCAAACGGCTAAACAAGAACTTTGATTCCGATGCACCTTTGTCGCCTCCGTGTTTCAGTTCCTTGTTAAAAGAAGAGGATAAGGAGGATTGTAGATTTTAGTTTGCGGTGGTTCCACTGTCTGTTATGGATTTACCTGTGACAAGAACCTAATCCACTCAGATGCTTCAATGGGGAGTACGAGGGAAATTGAAGTAGTTGAAGTGTGAAAAGACAGCAGAGCAACGACAAGGACGAAATAAATTATATTTGGCAAGACCCAGTTACACACTCTGTTCCACATTAGCCTGCTGCGTCGTCTTAAAAGATAAATCACACTCAAAGATGGTTTGACATGAAGTTCATGTTCGGTAATGTTAATGAATATCTCTGTAGATGCGTCGTAAAAATCAGAACTTGATTAATTTTTCTGTAGAACTGTTGCTTCGTCTTGCTGGTCAACCATATTAAAATAATTACGGGGCAATAAATCCCTCTCAATAAGCAGCAAGTGTAAGAAGTGACATCGTTCAGTTGAATTAAGTTAATGCTCATTATAAATATGTAAAAAACTATATACTGTGAGAGAAACTCTTCCTCTCATGGGCTAACACACAGACACACACGCACGCAGAGCTGTCCTTTAAAGGCCGCTTTCTCTTGGCTCTGGACTGTCCTTGCCTCTAAGAAACCTCCTCAAGCGTGCCACGAGAAGGGAACAGCAATTAATTTGAGTGACATCATTCAGAGTGATGGCTGAGGTGGCAACAAGACAGTGTGTTTGTGTGTGTGTGTGTGTGTGTGCGAGGGAATGTGTGTCTGTGATGCAGTGCTACAACTGCTAGCTCCAGTGCCCAACCCAGAGTCCTTGCAATGTCATGTGCACTCGGCGAACACAGAAAATTTCTGTTTGCTGCCCTTTCTTTCCCTCCTGTGGAACTTGTGATATTCTCAGAGCAATCCTGCCTTTTTGGATTGGCACTTCAGAAAATGGATGTTAGATGTGGTAACTTTAGATGATGCTAATGACTGGCCTTAGGGAAATGATTTACTGAGACAGAGAGCGAGAGAAAAAAGGGACAAGGAGACAGACAGTCTTATGTAAGAATCAAGCAATGGCAACTTAAAAAAAAGAGACACAGCGGATGCTGTGTAAATATCACATAACCCACCAGAAAGTGTCATCAGTCTGACTGCCGTCACATATATAATGAAGGATCCTGTAGTCACATACTGTTTGCTTCAAGAAAGATACACCTGGTGGATTTTTAATGCCATTAATGATTCCTCTGTCACCTCCCCTCCTCAGGGGAGGTGATGGAGAATTAAAATGCTATTAAACAGTTTGCCATAATCTGTATCACTCTCCATTAAATATGTATTATTCAAAACTGTCAGAGCTCTTATAATTGCACTAGAGCCTAATGCATTTTTAATACCTCGCACAACACCAGGATTGAGAGCAAATGTGTTGGTGGCTGCAGCCAAAGTGCATCAACACAGTTACATGCTGAAAGTCATGAATACACTTTGCATGTTAAAAAACACCTTTTAACTTTTTTTTGTCTGCGTCTGGTCTCGCTGGTGAAATCACCAATGTTCTATGATGATTTTCGATTATTTTGAGGTGAAAGAGCATCAGCACAATCACAACACACACCCAGCCACTCAAATTCTCTTTGTGTCGGGGTCGATGGAGGCTCTCTTTGCAAATGGCACAGCAGATTCAAAAAGCTTGTCTGATTTTGGCAAAAGGCTGCTCTTCAAAAATAGATACATAAGCTTAAGCCAAAGGTTGCCCTGCAAATCTTTTGACCTTTAGTGCCCGTTCTTTGCGGCAAGCCTTTCATTCATCTTTCTGATTTTGCTCTTGCTCACCATTTCTCTTTCTTATCACACTCCTCCGCTCTCTTCCTCCACCCTCGCACTGTTTACTGTTCGTGCTACAAACCCGCTGGCATTACTGCGTTACCATTCGTCACTCTAACTGGCTCCAGTGGAAAGGACATGCCCTCTGACCCCACCACTGGGAAAGGACCAAGGGAACGAAGAGAAAGGAATGCTCACACAGAGAACTTCAAAGAGATAAGAGAAAAAATATTTATGCGAGGGAGGGATGCACAATAAAAGACTGGTTTAATTTTAGCAAACAACCAGCTTACCAAGAGTTTGGTCTACTAGTTTGGTTAAACATAGTACAGTATACTTTTGCACAATACTGTACAAAAGCCTCAAGCTGTGTATTCTTTATATTTTTATAATTATATTTTGCGATTTATAAAAAAAACATGTAAACATAAATCAAACAGTATATAAGGCCAAAACACGCTTTTTGCAAATTCCAACAATATTTGATATGACCATGTTTAATTCTTCAGTACAGCCTTAATTCTCTTTGGGAAGCTTTCTTCTAATCTCTTTTTAAGTAAAATTCAGGAATAGTTCTCTAGCCTTCTTGAAAGACATTCAGACCTCTTCTTTGGATATCTGCTGCCTTTTGTTCTGTTCTCTGTCAAGATATTGTTGTAATATGACTTCACTTCAAGCTACACTACATGAGCCCTTTCTCCCTTTCTTAAGAATGGCTTCTTGACAGACTCCTTTCCACTGAGACCATTTCTGCTGAGACTTCAATGAACAGTAGATGGATCCGCTGAAGGGCCAGTTGCATCTCTCTGGTCCTGTGTCGGGTCTTTGGTGGAGTTTTTCCTATTTCTTAAGCCCTTTCCACACCAAACATGTAGACACAACACTGGTTCATGCCTTGAGTTATGTGCATTTTTATGTGTGAGTGGTTATCATGTCAGTATTAAGTAGATCAGGGGTGTCAAACTCAAATACACAGTGGGCCAAAATTCAAAACTGGAACAAAGTCGCGGGCTAAAGTTAATATTTATTGAAATATATTTATTCCTCCAGATATGAGAATGAATCTTTTCTTATGGACTCAAACACGTTTTGCTGAAAAACTGAATATGGAACAAACAAAGCTTAATACTAAACAATATATATATTAGCTGTATAATACCAGTAGGCCAGCTCTAATAGTAATTTGGTATGGCTTCACGGGCCAAATGTAATTAGGCTGCGGGCCAGAGTTTGACACCTATGAAGTAGATCAACAAAAAAAATATCCTAAGGTACAAAGACAGGTCTGAAAATGAGTGAAAATTTACAATTATCCAAGGCAAAGAAATGTGTTGCGTCACGAATGGCAGAAAATTTTAAACAGACCACAGTGGAAGACAAAGTGAGTAAAATCTGGCAGATGGCAAATAAAGGTTGTGTTTATGTGGCTCAGGACCATGTTCATGCTGTTTGCACCGTAGAATGTTACACTAGGACACTGCGTGACTTTCTTACCCTGGTCGATGAATTCACACACACAAAAAAAGCCTAAAAACTTGCAAAAGCAAGTTTGGTTGTTTTTGTTTGTTTGCTTGAAATATATTTCAAGCAAACAAACAAAATATTGGTGTGCACAAATATGCTGTCAAGTATCACAAAGAAACTGAACATGAGTACTTAGAAGTCCTGCTGATTTTCTGCTGCTCATGTATGTCTGAGTAGTGATGTGCAGAACAATGTTAAGTATGTAAAAGTGTGGAATTCTCAGTTTCTGTATCCCATCTGAGCTTATTCTAAAACCTAGCCAGAGATTAGTTGATGCTGCTGATGGTGAAGAGGTGTATACTTTAGGTAATCCAGATTCTAGTAAAATGCTTTCCGCAAAATGCCATCACCACGGCTTTGTAGTCGCATCAATCACATATAAATCTGTGATGTCAAAGCAAGTTTTAAGATATTAAACTGTCAGATAACAGAAGAAAATAGTCATACTCATGTCTTTCTCTATTTGGCTTCTTTCTAGCAATCTCTCTTCAGGCCTTAGTAAATAAAAGGAGTACAAACACTCTTACCATTTAATTTTCATATTTTTCAAAAGTGCATGAGAGCAGCACAAGCATGACTCAGCACATGCAGTCATCAGCTCCAAAGCTCTCACATTCAGCACTGCTCACTGTTTACCTCATTTAGGCCAGACAAACAGCAGCCATCATTAAGCCCATGAAGCAGGGCAACTATCCCCCAGTTCCCAGTAGATTTGGCAGTAATCACTCAGTTGCTCTGTGTCTGACAGCTCATTCAGCTGATGATGTTTTTTAAAAAGACATCTTCTCCTGCACAAGCTAGCTGATTAGCATTAGCATCACCACAATTCACCTCTGGGGCATCCTACCAGCAAGAACATCAACATTAGCATCATTAATAGCATTTTCTCCACTTAGAGCTGTCTCTGCCAGACAGCACCTCTTCTCTCCCCAACTAAGCTGCAGAGCGTGGCTGGAGTGGACAACATCCCTGCTGAGAACACTGTTCACCCTCCAAACTCATTTGCACCCAGCTTATTATTCAGTGTATAATTTGATTAGCTTCCACTGCTTTGGCTTGTTACTCATTTAATATGCTTCAGCAATGTTTCCTTCTCCACCTCAATGACAGTTTGTGATATGCTAGCAAGGCAATATAAGCCGTTTTTTAGCCAACATTAAATCTGCTTTCTATAGTGGATTGGGTCAGGACAAATCAGGTCAGTTTATTTTTTTAGCTCATGTCCCCTGGAGGTCACTCCATG